AAAAAAGTTCTATTTTTGGCAAATATAAAAGCCTTTTCACACCAAAAGTGAAATGAATAAGCCCCAGGCTGAAGGGAAAGTACATTTATGTCCGTACAGTAGAACGCAGAAGAAGACATTTCAACACACTTCAGCAATTAAAAAAAACCCACGAATGTTTGTCTAGAGTAATTTGTGCTTATTAGCACGGTTGAACTGGATCATCGAAGGTCAGAAGCAAAGACATTGCTTTATAGAATGGGATTAAATACATAAAGGATATTTGTGTTGTTTAACATTTAATTATTGCAGGTTTGGGTCATATTCTGAGTTGCATTATTTTTATTCATTTTGAGGAATACTGAATCGGTGTTTTATTTTTTTGTGTGAGAGATGAATTAATGCATATTCATATTTATTTTAGAACTACAGTAACATCTTCTGATTTCTCTCAACATGGGGACAGGAGAGCTGTCAATCAATAAACTGGAAATTTTGAAAAAGTAACTCAGATATTCTCTTGTAAATTAAAAAGTAATGCGTTACTTTACTAGTTACTTGAAAAAAGTCATCTGATTACGTAACTCGCGTTACCCCCAACACTGAATATAGCCATTGTTAAACAGACACGGTTATAGGCAGACAGAGAGGCAGCGAAATATAGCCAGATTGTTTGAAAGAGACTGTTAAAGATATTGTTAGACAGATGGAAAGAGACAGAGAGAGATGCAGACAAACAGATGGAAAGAGATATAGACAGATTGTTAGATAATGAGACAAACACAGACATTATTAAAGATATAGGCAGACAGAATGGAAGAGAGATAGATCGATGCTTAGTCAGAGTTTGTTAGAGATATAGACAGTGTTAGATAAAGATATAAACAATGTTAAACAGATATAGGCAGAAAAGCAGGAAGAGAGATATACAGTGGGTATAGAAAAGAATCACTCCCTTTAAAAGAATCACATTTTGTTGCTTTGCAGCCTGAAATGAAGACGGACACAGTTTCAGTTTTATCCAGCTGTATTTACTCAGTGCAACTTATAACATGCAAGTGAAAGATATAAGACCAACATGTCAGAAACAACAAAAACAAACAGAAAAAATCAAAAAAACAATCACCGAGTTGGAAAAAGGATCACCCCCTTTGTGTCAGTATTTTGTTGAACCACCTTTTGCTTTAATTACAGCCTTTAGTCTGTTGGGATATGTCTCTGTCTCTACTAACTTTGCACATCTAGACTTTGCAATATTTGCCCACTCTTCTTTGCAGAACTGCTCAAGTTCAGTTAAATTTGATGGGGGGGTGTTTGTGGACTGCAGTCTTCAAGTCATTCCACAGATGTTCAATGGGGTTTAAGTCTGGGCTCTGACTAGGCAATGCAATGACATTCAACTTTTTCTCCTTCAACCACTGTGTGGTCAGTTTTGCTGTGTGTTTTGGGTCATTGTCATGTTGGAAGGTAAACCTTCTTCCCATTGACAACTTTCTGGCAGAGGGCAGCAGATTTTCTGCAAGAATTTGATGGTATTTTGCCCCATGCATTGTTCCTTCCATCTTGAGAAGTGCTACAGGCCCTGCTGCAGAGAAACACCCCATAACAGGATATTACCACTTCCATGCTTTACTGTAGGAATGGTGATATTTGGATGGTGAGCTGTATTGGATTTCCACCAGACATACAGTATTATTTGTTGAGGCCAAATAATTAAATTTTAGTCTCATCTGACCGTAACACCTTTTTGGCCTCGGAATCTTCTAGGTGCGTTTTGGCAAAGCTCAGTCGTGACTGCATGTGGCCTTTCTTGAGGAGTGGCTTTTTTCTTGCAACCCTCCCATACAAGCCACAATTGTGGAGAATTTGTAATATTGTTGTCATATGCACACAATGACAGCTCTTTGTCATAAATTCCTGCAACTGCTTCAGAGTTGCTGTAAGCCTCTTGGTAGCCTCTCTGACCAGTTTCCTCCTGGCTCTTTCATCCATATTGGAGTGACGCCTGATCCAGGGAGGGTCTGTGTTGTACCAAATACCTTCCACTTCTTAATAATAGACTTCACTGTGCTTCTAGGCATTGATAAAGCCTTTGAAAATGTTTTGTATCTATCTCCTGACTTGTGCCCGTCCACAACTTTATCCCGGAGTTCTTTTGACAGTGCCTTGCCACCCATAGTTGATTGTTTGCTTCAGTTGCACTACCAAGGACTGAAATGCTCCAGGAAAGCTCTTTTCATGCTGAGCTGATCAAAATGACCACAGCTGAAAGTCAAATGGCTTTGCGTGCCATTGAGAAGGTGATTAGCTACACCTGATTGAATTTACAAGTCAATTTTGGGAGGGGGGGTGATCCTTTTTCCACAGTTGTGATTGTTTTTTTTATTTAATTTTTTTCCTGACAGGTTGGTGTTATATCTTTCACTTGGATGTTACAAGCTGCAGTGAGTAAATACAGCTGGATAAAACAAAAACTGCGTCGTCCTTCATATCATGCTGCAAAGCAACAAAATGTGATTATTTTAAAAGGGGGGTGATTCTTTTCTATACCCACTGTAGATACTAGATGGTTAGACAGAAAGGTATAGACAAAAATACAGAAAGACTGTTAGATATAGACATCAAACAGAATGAGATATAGACAGCTAGAGAGGCAGAGAGATATAGATTGTTAGATGGACCGTTTGTTAGAGATATAGACAGATTGTTAAACAAACAGATGTAGAAATAAAGATACTGCTAGATAGACAGCAAAACAGATTGTTAGACAGAGGTACAGACAGACTGATTGCAGAAATGAATAGACAGACAGAGAGACAGAAGCAGACAACTAGACAGAAAGACATGAGATTGATTGACAGGTAAACAGACCAATAGACAGACTCTTAGAAAGAAAGATGCAGACAGACATATTGCTAGACAAACAGAAAAAAAATTGACATACTATATAGACAAGCAGAAATACAGATGGATGGTTAGAAACAGAGGCAGAGAGAAACAAAAAGACTGACAGACAGGCAAGCAAATAGTTAGAAAGGCGGAAAAATAGACTGAATGACAGGTTGACAGAAAGACAGACAGATTCAAGGCTTTAATCTGAAGTGCATCAGTGTTGCTGTCCATCATTTATAAGTAACAACAGACCTTATTTATTCTAGAAGTTTCCATTTGTAGGATCTGCTCTCCTTCTCACAAAAGTTCATCAATGACTTCTAATCAGCAGTTTATTTCTCGGCACCTTTGTCAAACACCACTGATAAACGTCTTATCGGATCCCTGAATGAATGGATGATCACGAGCCGTGCCTCCTAATGACCCTGCAATCTCAGTTTCACTGAACGCATCCATAAAGGCGCTGTCACACAGCACTCCTTCATCAGCTCATGGCAGTTATCTTATCGGTTTGCAGAACAATGTGCTCGGCTAGCTGTTGTTATCCACTGTCATGTATTTGAGAGCGGCGAAACCGTAACGGCGAGACATATTCTGCTGAAACTCCTCCTTCAGCGTCTTCAGACAAGCACGGTACTGTTTGTTCGAGCGGAACTTGGTGATGTCAAAACTGGGCGCGTGAGGCATGTGGATCATGTAGGCGTTGGGCAGAACCACAAACTCGTACTCCTGAAAATACACAACAAACAACATTTTGCATGCTGAAAGATTACAGTTAATTTCCAGAAAATAAGACCAGAAACTAAAAAAAAGGGATTTATTTAATGCAGCCTAATTACACCACATCATAAATTCCTGCAACTGCTTCAGAGTTGCTGTAAGCCTCTTGGTAGCCTCTCTGACCAGTTTCCTCCTGGCTCTTTCATCCATATTGGAGTGACGCCTGATCCAGGGAGGGTCTGTGTTGTACCAAATACCTTCCACTTCTTAATAATAGACTTCACTGTGCTTCTAGGCATTGATAAAGCCTTTGAAAATGTTTTGTATCTATCTCCTGACTTGTGCCCGTCCACAACTTTATCCCGGAGTTCTTTTGACAGTGCCTTGCCACCCATAGTTGATTGTTTGCTTCAGTTGCACTACCAAGGACTGAAATGCTCCAGGAAAGCTCTTTTCATGCTGAGCTGATCAAAATGACCACAGCTGAAAGTCAAATGGCTTTGCGTGCCATTGAGAAGGTGATTAGCTACACCTGATTGAATTTACAAGTCAATTTTGGGAGGGGGGGTGATCCTTTTTCCACAGTTGTGATTGTTTTTTTTATTTAATTTTTTTCCTGACAGGTTGGTGTTATATCTTTCACTTGGATGTTACAAGCTGCAGTGAGTAAATACAGCTGGATAAAACAAAAACTGCGTCGTCCTTCATATCATGCTGCAAAGCAACAAAATGTGATTATTTTAAAAGGGGGGTGATTCTTTTCTATACCCACTGTAGATACTAGATGGTTAGACAGAAAGGTATAGACAAAAATACAGAAAGACTGTTAGATATAGACATCAAACAGAATGAGATATAGACAGCTAGAGAGGCAGAGAGATATAGATTGTTAGATGGACCGTTTGTTAGAGATATAGACAGATTGTTAAACAAACAGATGTAGAAATAAAGATACTGCTAGATAGACAGCAAAACAGATTGTTAGACAGAGGTACAGACAGACTGATTGCAGAAATGAATAGACAGACAGAGAGACAGAAGCAGACAACTAGACAGAAAGACATGAGATTGATTGACAGGTAAACAGACCAATAGACAGACTCTTAGAAAGAAAGATGCAGACAGACATATTGCTAGACAAACAGAAAAAAAATTGACATACTATATAGACAAGCAGAAATACAGATGGATGGTTAGAAACAGAGGCAGAGAGAAACAAAAAGACTGACAGACAGGCAAGCAAATAGTTAGAAAGGCGGAAAAATAGACTGAATGACAGGTTGACAGAAAGACAGACAGATTCAAGGCTTTAATCTGAAGTGCATCAGTGTTGCTGTCCATCATTTATAAGTAACAACAGACCTTATTTATTCTAGAAGTTTCCATTTGTAGGATCTGCTCTCCTTCTCACAAAAGTTCATCAATGACTTCTAATCAGCAGTTTATTTCTCGGCACCTTTGTCAAACACCACTGATAAACGTCTTATCGGATCCCTGAATGAATGGATGATCACGAGCCGTGCCTCCTAATGACCCTGCAATCTCAGTTTCACTGAACGCATCAATAAAGGCGCTGTCACACAGCACTCCTTCATCAGCTCATGGCAGTTATTTTATCGGTTCGCTGAACAATGTGCTCGGCTAGCTGTTGTTATCCACTGTCATGTATTTGAGAGCGGCGAAACCGTAACGGCGAGACATATTCTGCTGAAACTCCTCCTTCAGCGTCTTCAGACAAGCGCGGTACTGTTTGTTCGAGCGAAACTTGGTGATGTCAAAACTGGGCGCGTGGGGCATGTGGATCATGTAGGCGTTGGGCAGAACCACAAACTCGTACTCCTGAAAATACACAACAAACAACATTTTGCATGCTGAAAGATTACAGTTAATTTCCAGAAAATAAGACCAGAAACTAAAAAAAAAGGGATTTATTTAATGCAGCCTAATTACACCACAAAGCATAACATATTACTGAAACTAAGTTCAAGACCTGTAATGTCTTAAGATAGCAATCATTGGTTACACTTTATTTCGATAGTCCACTTTAGACATTCTACGAACTATAAGTAACTTTGTAACTACATGTCAACTACATGTCAACTAATTCTCATTAATTTGCAACTACATGTCTACTAACTCTCAGAGTAGAGTAGGTAGGTTTAGGGATAGTAGAATAAGTTGACAAAGAAAGTGTTAGAAGATATTAAGCAGACAGTCTACTAATACTCTACTAACTGCTAGTTGACATGTAGTTGCAAAGTTACTTACTATTAATAGAATGTCTAAAGTGGACTATCGAAATAAAGTGTTACCCAATCATTTCACTCAATTCCACTGAGGATTTGTTTAGGACATTTGCTTGATTTATATATATATTTTTTTTTTACAGAATTGTATATTTTAAGATTCTTTTAAGAACACCGAGTTGTTCGAGGAAGTTCAAGACTGACTGATTCATGACCATTAACCATTCCACTAAAAAGAACAGTTCTTATCATACTCAATTCAGACTGCAAACTCACATTGCACAAACACTCACACAAAATATTTTTTTTGTGTTATAGAAATAGTTTGATTTACATTGGTCAGAAGAGAGAAAGATGTCAAATTTGCCATCATTCCCTCAGTCATTACATTAAAAACACTCATGCAGCAGCATTAACTAGTTTCTGTAATTTAATGGCACGTTTATATCAAACTATAGTGTTATAAATGTACATTAAATAAAAAAAAAAAAAACTTTTACGATGTTAATAACTGTCAAAATGCATCATCGCAATCTGTGAAAAAGGTAAATTTAAGGAAATTTAACAAAATTTGCTTACCCTCAAGCCATCCGAGATGTAAATGAGTTTGTTTCTTCATTGGAAGAGATTTGGAAAAATTAACCATTATGTAATGACACTTGGTTACCAATGGATTCTCTGCATGAAGTTCCAAAGGCTGGTAAAAACATCACGATAATCCACACGTTTCAAATATATCAATTAACAGATCTATCATTAACATCTTGTAAAGTGAAAAGCTTTATGTTTGTAAGAAACAAATCCATCATCAGGTGTTTTAACTTTTAAACCGCCGCCTCAAGTCGATCCCTGTTGTCCTCTCACATCAAAATGCACCAACATGTTTGTTTAGAGCTGTTTTGGACTGTTTTTGCTTGTAAATGTCACTTGATCTGTACAAACGTCTCTCCTAATTCAGATTAGACAACATTTTCACTAGAAAAAGCAATGTTATGGATAGAGGAATCATATTTTAGACAGAAGCAATGATTTGAAGTTAAAAATGTCTTGATGGATATGTTTATTACGAACATGCAGCTTTTAAATTCACAAGACATTAATTGATTAACGTGATGACGAGTCATGTGGATTACTTGTGGAGTGTTGTGATGTTTTTATCAGCTGTTTGGACTCTCATTCTGACGGCACCCATTTACTGCAGAGGATCCATTGTTGAGCAAGTGATGTAATGCAAAATTTCTCCAAATCAAATCTGTTTCAATGAAGAAAAAACTCATCTACTTCTTGGATTGCCTGAGGGTAAGCAAACGGTCATTTTTGGGTGAACTATTCCTTTAATGAATGTAAGTGTTACCTGAGCGTCCAGCTCCATGATGTGAGCTACTTTATTCCACCCAAACCCCACAAAGCGCCGGTCATACTCTGGGCATTCTCGTCTGACCATTACATACGGCTCAAAGTCGGCCTCCCACTGAACTCGGTATGGTGTTGTAGCAGTTCTCCATTTGGCAAAGTCTGTTGGAGCGTGACCTTTTGTCCAGACATGATATCTGTGGACAAGCAAATTACTTCTTTATTAAGTCAATATTGACTTTAAGTCATTGTAAAACTGTCAAGAATTCACTAAATAAAATAATAAATACATATTATTTGGATAAGTTTGTGATTGGTTGGTTCAATCGATTAACTGATATTAACTGATTTAAAAGAATCATGAATGATTCAGTCACATCTGAGAAAATCTCATCTGCCATTAATTTTGAATTAATTAATTTGAGATTTAGTTTTTCTTAGATTAATCACCTGAATGTGAACAGAGTGCCCATGTCGAGTTGTGACAGGAGCTCTGCTTTTGATTTGGGAAAGGACAGCCGATAGCGCAGAGTTTCAAATGCTGGAACCACAAGAGCCTTTTTAGTGTTCCCCATATCAAGCTGAACAACCGATTTCCTGAGACAGAAACAAGATGGATTACTTGTAGAACGGACTCTAATGGATAGTACTCTTGTACAAATCACATTCACAACCTAAGAACATTTTGTTGGCACCAAAAAAGAAGGTTACACTTTATTTCGATAGTCCACTTTAGACATTCTACGAACTATAAGTAACTTTGTAACTACATGTCAACTACATGTCAACTAATTCTCATTAATTTGCAACTACATGTCTACTAACTCTCAGAGTAGACTGTTTGGGTAGGTTTAGGGTTAGTAGAATGAAATAAAGAAGAGTTAGAAGATATTAAGCAGACCGTCTACTAATACTCTACTAACTGCTAGTTGACATCTTGCAAAGTTACTTACTGTTAATAGAATGTCTAAAGTGGACTATCGAAATAAAGTGTTACCAAAAAGAAAAACATGCTTTAATATACAGTATATGGGTTTTCACTCTTGTATTTCTTATGATTTCCGAACAAAATGAGTTTTGCAATCAGCTTTAATCAGATACAATAGTATCTTACTTTACTTTGTTTGAAGCAAACATGCACTCCAGAGTTTGTTTTCAGTCACAGATCCGTGTACGATTGCAGAATTTTTTTCTCTGTTATGTCATGACTTTTCTTTCATTTTTCCCCCTCACATCATATTTAAAAAGTGCCAATTTAAAAATATTTTTGAGCGCATGATTTAATCAGAGAAAAATGTCTCTCACGGTCTTTATCAGTATTCCATTATATTGTCAAGCTCAGTTGTTCAACACAGTTTTAGGTGATTTTCTTTAAAGAAAAAAAGCCCAATAATGTTGACAATATACGACAAAATACGGTGATACAAAAGCATCACATTCTTGCATTGCCTGCATAATTTTACCCCCAAACATTCTGAAAGTAGCTGTAACAACAAATTTAGGATTGTGGGTAGTTTATGATTCTGTCATTGAAGAAGCCATGTTTATTGAGCCCTAATTTGAATATTGTGATGACGTGTCCGTCTGTGATGGTCCTACAATATTTGTGTTGATTATGATTCTTTGGGCCTTAAGTGAAAAAATATGAATTGTTGAAATGAGTAACATTTTCAAACAAAAAAGATAAAAATAAAGAAATAATAATTCTCAAATTGCACCTGAGAATGCCCCACATCGAGTTGAATACCGAAATTAAATGTGCTTTTACAACATACATGTTTTAGGTGATTTTCTTTAAAGAAAAAAAGCCCAATAATGTTGACAATATACGACAAAATACGGTGATACAAAAGCATCACTACATTCTTGCATTGCCTGCATAATTTTACCCCCAAACATTCTGAAAGTAGCTGTAACAACAAATTTAGGATTGTGGGTAGTTTATGATTCTGTCATTGAAGAAGCCATGTTTATTGAGCCCTAATTTGAATATTGTGATGACGTGTCCGTCTGTGATGGTCCTACAATATTTGTGTTGATTATGATTCTTTGGGCCTTAAGTGAAAAAATATGAATTGTTGAAATGAGTAACATTTTCAAACAAAAAAGATAAAAATAAAGAAATAATAATTCTCAAATTGCACCTGAGAATGCCCCACATCGAGTTGAATACCGAAATTAAATGTGCTTTTACAATATACAAAATATTTTAAGAGAACGGTCATGTTTTGTTGAATTATAATGAGTGATTTGTTGTACAAAACACCAAAATGGAGTGGCAGTACCAGAATGTACTCGGTTCCTATTAAAATTATAACATCTGTATTTAAAATGTACTGTGACTGGTTTGAAGAATGTAGCACCTGGGGCTTAGTTTAGATGAGATGAAACTAAAATCGCCCCAACATCATTTTACAATTCTAAATTTAGGTTTTGTCTCACCTGAGGTACTCATAGAGTCCATACATGGGCAAAAAGTCAATATCCAACAGAAACATGTAGGGTGTGTTGACCTGCCCCATAGCAACATTACGCAGCAGGTTAACAGGGTAGAACTGGCCTTCTTTATAGACTATGTGATATCCCACGTTGCTCCTGCTCATCAGGACCTCAGAGCCCTGAGCGTATCGCAGGAACTGCTGGGCTTCAGCGTCTGAGAGGTAGAGAGCCAGACTGATGGGCCCTTCCCAGTGTTTACAGATGGCCTCTAGCATCTGAAGTCTGGAACAAGGAAACACTCCAGTAACTCACCAAAAACATGTAACAATTTTATACAATAGGTCGACACACATTTGGTTCATCTCCTTTTGCTTTGACAAAACATGCTGACGTGAACAAAATCTAATGATTATAAACTTATTAAACAACAATAATACTACTACTATTAATAATGAATTAATACTACTACTACTACTGATAATAATAATAATAATAATATCCAAATAGAGCTGTTTTGAAGCTAGTATTTGGCATATCACCTCTGTGAGACATGGTGTTTACACAGTAAAAAAAAGAACTATTCATAACTTTTTTACATTTTAGTATTAATTAATAAAAGAATTATTTATCATTCTTTAGAACTGAGCATAGACAAAAATAAATCACTATAGATTTTCCAGACCTGATCATGCCCACATATTCCCAGGTTTCCCCAAGAATGTGGAAACCCTAACGATTTTAATTAAGTATATACACAGTAGTCTGTCCCTCAGAATCTAACTTTCATTCAAGTCAAACTAGATTTGGCATCTACTCTGACAAACCTTTTTCCCTTGAGAGCTATAACATGGCTGTCAAAGAGGTTATGCCCTCTTTGACAATGAATTGTATCCCATAGTGTTGACAAGGACGATAACCCTCCGCCACTGGCACTGACTGATGTGTAGGTTTTATCTGAGATTCTGGGGTAGCCTATACATGCCTGACTAAATGCAGTCATCCTTCATTACACTGATCACAAAAGCTGTGAAGCTTTGACTCAATACATTTGAATCAGGTTTATTTCCAGAAGCAATTTGTTAACGTCATCAGTGTGATTAATGATGACAAAGCAGCTGAGTATGATCAGAAACAGATTATAGGATACAGTGTGGTTCATTTATCAGGAAACTAATTTCAGTGTTCATTTACAACATTAACACAACATTAACCACTGTTACAGGTGTATGTTTATTTAGTTCAAATAATATGCCATTTCCTTTGCACCAACAAAACTGTAGGACTTATGATTAGATGAATCATTTTGGGCCATATCTATGGAGCCCCTAAAGTGACATTTGTCATTAAGGACCTTTGAAAGCTTTTAAAATCTTCAAAAACAACCAAAATATTTATTATCAAATTAGCAGTCATGTTAGAAAATACAGAGCGCCTAACGTGACATTGCAGATAAAAAAAAAACCGCTTTCACATGTGCACAAGAAAATTCCACACAAAAATAAAATTAAATAGGCACTTTACATACAAAAAAAGTATTTTTTTGCACCGCAAATGTCACATATGGGGCTCCATATATAGGTTTATTTAAAATAACTGCCACTTTATTAAAAACCATTACAGGTTTTTCCTAAAAATATTGTTTATGAATTTATGATTTAATTTTGGAGAAGGGAATGACATTAAGGACCTGGTTGAAGTCTTACTCAAGGATATTCAATAAGCTCAATCGACAGCAGGACACCGAGACGTTTGCAATGGAGGTGAATGGGGCCAAGGCATAAATGTTAACAGCCGCAAGACGAAAACAATTTGAGTGTTTAGGGTTACAACGGTCGGTATTACATTTTTATGGTATGATACTGTAACTGTCTCAGAAAATACTGTTGTCATTTGTCAGCGTTTTTTCCACCAGCTGAACATGTTCAACTGGTGTTTGTCAGGTTATGGAATGTTTGAGAAGTGACATACAAAAATCTGGTTTTTGTAAGTGTTGGTCGGGTCAGCTGAGTAGGAAAGGAGATGTGCATGCACAAGTAAGTTTCTCCATCAGTTGTATTTTTTTTTCAATACCGTAGCAGTACACAGTATCATAAAACACAGTATGTTAAAGTTAGTGTGTAAATCTAATTTTTACAACTTTTTTACCATGACAACATAGAGCTAAAACCCTAAAACCACTGTAAAATCATGATTTACACAGCGTTACATTACATTTAGTCATTTAGCAGACGCTTTTATCCAAAGCGACTTACTAATGAGAACAATGGAAGCAATCAAAATCAACAAGAGAGCAATGATATCCAAGTGCTATAAAAAGTCTCAGTTAGCTTAAAGGGGTCATATGATGCGATTTCATTTTTTCCTTTCTCTTTGGAGTGTTACAAGCTCTTGGTGCATAAAGAAGATCTGTAAATTCCAAAGAGATATTCTTTATAAAAGTTAAGAGTCAGCCACACCCCCCTAAAACGGCTCGTTCTAACACGCCCCCACATATCTACCTCACTATGTGGGAAGATTTGCATAACGCCGCCCAAATGTTCACGCAAAGAAAGAAGAATTGGCCATTTGGTTAGGTGATGGGGAGTTCGATATTATTTGTTAAATATAACAATTGTGTGTCTGATTGGTCCAAATGCTACATCCGCTTCGTCATGCCTGGAGCTGTTCTGTGCTGGTCGCTGAGGAAATACATCAACTTAGTGCTGTGGATCGCCGGATCGGCTTTCACCGTTTTCACCGCTCCTTCGCCGGGACCGCCGTTCTCGACCCCGCCACCTCAGCTCACTCTTGCCCGGCTTCAGCTCACACTAAGCCGGGGCTTTCGCTCACGCTAGGCCGCTGTGTGCTTCGTTGTGAAAGCGAAACTACTTTGTTTGGTCTTCCAAAAGAGGACGATATCCGCTTCATCATGCTTCAAGCTGATCTGTGCTGGTCGCTGAGGGAATACTTCAACTTAGTGCTGTGGATCGCCGGCACATTTTATGGAGGACTGTTTACTGATCCTGGGAGAGTAGATTACAATGACGGCTGTTCTGACTCCCAGTCTGTAAGTACGTTTTCTTTTATCATTTGTCACTGATGATTCAAACGCGAGTTTTGGGCAGTGTGGAGTAGCACTTGTTGTTTGTCATTTCTCTGATCACAAATGCAGACAGGGTTTTATGTTTACGCGGCACGATGCAATGCAACGCATAAAAAGACAGTATAAGTCATTATAATCAGTAATTATGTCCCCACTGGACGCAACAAATGCCTCGTTTGTAATGGGTTTTAATGTTTTTGTCTCGTCGCTCCGGCCGGACAGGGCATCACAGTATGGTGAGGGGTGTAACATTTCCGTCTCACGCTTGAGGTTTTCAGCCAATCACAACGCTCTGGATAGCTGGCCAATATCCAATATCATATGACCCCTTTAATGCAGTACACGTAGCAAGTTTTTTAAAATTAAATTATATAATACAAATAAAAACAGATAGAATAGAAAAAGAATAGAGCAAGCTAGTTTTAGAGGTCTTATTTGCTTTTGTTAATTGTATAATAAATAAAAAGAAATCAAATAGATATTATACAAAAAGATTAGAGAAGCTAGTGTTTTTTTATTTAGTTTAAAGGGGTCATATGATGCGATTTCAAGTTTTCCTTTCTCTTTGGAGTGTTACAAGCTGTTTGTGAATAGATACGATCCCTAAAGTTGCAAAGACTAAAGTCTCAAATCCAAAGAGATATTCTTTATAAAAGTTCAGTGTTCAAATGGGGAGTTTTGTGCATCATGTGTGTGTGTGTGAGAGTGTGAGTGTGAGTGAGAGAGAGAGAGAGAGAGAGAGAGAGAGAGAGCGCACAAGTGGAGTCAGCTGTCTTACCCGTGGCTTGTGTACTGCACACATACCAGCTTCATCACTGTGTCTGTCACACGACTCTGTTCCCCTTTCTGGTTCTGTCTTTACATTTATTTTGAAAGATGAAGCTCGCGATTATGGTAAGGGACATTACATTTCCGACGAGTGCTTGCGGTGGCGTTTGAGAGAGGCGGGGCATAGAGGAACTACAATAATGTACAGTATTTGAAAAATAATGTATTTTTTGAACATTAAAGCATGTCAACATATTCTGTCACACCAAATACACAAAATAGTGATCTTTTTGTGCATCATATGACCCCTTTAATAAACTTTAATAAACACGCTTTAATAAACTTATGTCTTAAATGTAGAATTATTACAAGTGCTTTTATAAAATTATAAGCTTCTCATTTCTGCTTTTAAATCCTCCAATTGGCCCAATTCACATACATTCAAACTGTATCACTCTAATCTAGGTTTTTGCTTTTTTTTTTTCTTTAAAAACAACAAGGGACAAATTAAATTACTTTTTGTTAATCAACATTATGCTGCAAATGCTGTCGACTGAGCTTAGCTTGTATAAACGGACCCAAATATTTCTTTGAAAGCTCTTAAATGACATCATCCTCCAGGAAGTTTTGATCAACTTGATTTAATGTGCCTTATAAAAGGCTCTATTTAGCATCATGTATTAAATATCTGCTGGTGATGTGATATGTGCGTCTTTATATAAAGTAAATGTAAGTGTGTTTTCTTACCTGTCCATAGACAGCTGGGCCACCAGTGTCACGTCAGTGTTATCCAAGGCTGGTTCGTTAGTTTTTACTGATGGTAAAACTAAGGACATTATTAACTGTCTTGACATTTACTTTGAAAGCTGAAGCTCGCCTTGTTACACCAAATAATGATCTTTAAAATAGCATCATATGACCCATATACCAGTAGATCGTGGCCTGATTGGAGGTAGCTCGCCAAGACATACTTGACATGTCGGCCTGAGGTTATTTTAATTATCCCGTTTCATATTTTAATTATCATTAAACCCGTATTTGATTATCGCGATTTGAAAAACTCAAGTAAATATTGTTCAGCTTTAATCTTAATTTAAGTTATTAAGAGTCTCACGCAGGTGCAACATGCAGAGTAGTTTAGTTTTGTGTGAAAGCATGACTGAAGGCAGACCGCTGAGGGAAAGAATGTATATGTACAGTGGGTACTTAAAGTATTCAGACCCTCTTAAATTGTCAATTAACAACAACAGAAACATTAAAATGGTCCAAGAATTGGTAACTTAAACAGGGTTCGTACAGATACTGTAAAATAAAATTCCAGGACTTTCAAGGTGCTTGCACTACTTTTTTGGTTTTCAAGGATGCAAAGAATGCAAAGAATGTGGCAACTTTAACATTTGAAAGGATACTATGGCATGGTTATCGCTTTCCTTATTCAAACTGATTTTTTTTTCATGAATATATGATTGACAAAGAATAAAGCTATATCATACACTTGGAAAATTATGAGCTATATCACACTCATAGACACTAGGGGTGTGACAGGTGAGACAAAATGCAGAAACTTGATTCACTAGAATATTGACAAAATATTTGTCTTTTCATCACAAAAAGTAAAACAATGCACTTGTATTTTGAAATGTTTTAACTAATCTAGGGCTTAAAGCTGCAGTCCATAACTTTTTTGTGTTCAAAATTTACCAAATTTATATAATAAGCGAGTACACCATGAATCCATTTTCCAAACCGTGTTTTTGGCTTGTCCTGAATCACTACGGTACACCTATAATAAGTGTTTATATTCAGACTATTTAGACTGGTTCGGGTAGGTACCACTGTGGAGTAGCCCAGTACCTGCGTGATTCGCCATAGACATAAATAGAGAGAAGTAGTAGCAGAACTATAATGTTCTTCCGCAAGACACACGCAGTTCTGTTTATTAACCGCTAGAGCACCAAAAGTTACGGACTGCAGCTTTAACTAATTATTATTTTGCTAATCAAGTAATCTATTGATTATTTTGACAAGTGAGTAATCTGATGTTTTTTAGTAATACAAATATAACTAAGTGAAAATCAGGCTTTAATATGACTATATTTATATATAAAGTAACGATGAGCCAATAATAATTGGCCTCCAATAAAGTATCAAAACCAAGTTGGTTTTATTGAACTGTTAAATACATAATGTACTATGCCTATATTATAACAAATACCTGCAGAGGGCGCCAACGGCCTGGTGATGTTTCATGTATTTCAACAACGTTTAAATTAATTAAATTTTAATATTTGGCCACATGCAAAGTCAGAAACTTTTATTTTGAAATCGTGATGTACAATAAATTGCATATTTAGAAATATATTTATGTATTCTCTGTGTTGGCATAGGTTTAAATGATTTACGTTACAAATCAAGTGAGTTGTCCCAGATGAATGTTAAGCAACCCAAACTCACCGCATATGCAGAGGAAGAGTTTAGCCCCTTTCACACATACAGTATTTACTGGTAAATTACCGTTAAGAGATCATGTGTGAACAGGACCTTTTCAAAAACACAGGTAAATGCATTCTGGCAAACATATCATTCTTATGGAGATGACGTGATTACTCTGAGCGATTTACAAAGCTCCGCTGCTTTTTTTAATAGCTTTTCTATGTAAATATGACGCTAGATGGAAATCTTTGCCTTGCAGCTTTTGCAATGTGTCGCACTCGAGACCCAGGCTTTTTTTCCATTCATCAGCTGCGACTCTGCAATTGGATACTAATGCGCGTCTCGTGTTTATAAGAGCAAAAACTTCTGATTGGCTAGTAATGTTAGTTTGGTTGAGAGTGAATGAAAGCTGTGTTCCTCTCATACATTGGTAGGCAAACTCATGAACTCGAACGTGACATCAAGTGTTTTTAAATGTAGGACGACTATCTTTTTGATATGTTTACGCATTAAACTTGTTGCCACGAGAAAAATGTGTCGTTCCCTCAACATATAGCATCTCGAGGCCACGACATAATATCACGTTCCCACAAGTTATTATGATGTTCCCTCAAATTAATATCTTGTGGCCACGACATATCACGTTCCCACAAGTTATTATGTCATGGCTACGACAAAACTAAGTGAACCGAACATGTCACCCCCCGGGCACTGTACAGACCAATGCAAAAAATCTAACCAAATTTTTGTTGTAAACCTTAACCAGTCGATGGAAAATAGGCTACCTTGTTATCAGAAGTTGGGATTTTTAGAATGCACATTAGATTATGTAGAACTGTTTATGGAGCAGATAATTTTTTTAATTGATAATTCGGACTCATCCTTATATATATATATATATACGATGCCGTGTATAACAGTTTGGATTGATACATTATTTAAGAGATTTAAGTATTGTATTGGTAGCTGTCAGCCAAGTAGCTCCCGAATGAAATAAGGTTGGAGACCCCTGCCCTAGAGAAACAAACTTCAATACATTATTTGAGCTGTTCAACATCAGTGAGCATGAATCAGAGGCGTAATAATTAATTCACAGTTAATAAAGTGACAGCAAAGACATTTAACTTTCAGCCAAAAGTCATTAAAAGCCACTGGAGTAAATCATCATTTTTAGACAGGCTAGAGTGACTCCATTCAGCACACAGTGTAAAAATGCTTCAGTGGCCCTATAGTACTTTACTAACTAGAAAAGTACAAGACTAGCGTAATTAACTCGAATGTTTATATCGCTACATTTTACACCACAGACCACAAAAAATTGTCCAAAATCTAAGATGCTGATACATGTCAACATTTAGTAGATGCACAGAAAAAAAAACATTACTCTCATTACTTTACAAAATTATTACTATACAAAATTATTACTACTTTACAAAATTAAACACAACAACCAACTTATAGTTTGTTTTTGCATGTTTTTCAGATGAATCCAAACATCTGAAATGATTTTTATGTTTAACTGTTGGTACAAGGATAAAAAAAAATAGCATGTTTACATGCACATTCTCCAACCAATACTGCTTAAGCTAAAAGGACATGTGGTCATGTAAATGCATTACACTGTTATCGTGTTAGGTCATAAATGGTTTAAGCATAATCTGATTGACACAGCTAGATTTTTGCCCATTATCCCAATTTTGTATGCCATGGAAACACTTTAATGTGTGTTTAAATGTACAGTGATATAAACTACAAACATGAGGGGAGAATAAATTTGCAAGTCTGTCAGTTTCCTGCTGACATTTTGAAATACTCTGGGGGTTTTTAATGCTGTAATATGACAATTCGCATAACGAATGGAAAATGCAGATACATAGAAGTTTATGTTGTGGTGTCACTGTGTCATGTAAACCAGTAAAATGTGTTCTTTCAACAAGCTGATTGCTGGTAGATAGCAACGTATTGGTGTGCATTAATGCATGCTCGATGTGAAATGGCATTTAATAATTGTTAAAATGTTCTTACATGTGTAAATAAATGTATTGTTTTAACAATAAAGGTACTGTTTCGAAAATTACAAATGATAATGAAAATTTCAGTCACAAATGCAATACAAGTACAATATAATTGCCACTTAAGATCATTTCATCCATTATTTATACACATTAGTGCCTATTAATGTACATAATGTTTATAAAATAATTTATGTTGGAAATGCCAGCATGAAATAGGTACCCCTTTACACAGTATACGGGAATGCATTTTTGTCAAACCATTCTGGCTACAGGTTATGGACGTTTTAATTTGCTGGTTTAGTTCCAAATTATTTTTAACTCCTCAACCATGCCTATTAGGTGACGAGTTCCAAATACCAAATGTATCAAAATGTGTACATTCTGTTATTATGGAAGGTAATACAACAGTCAGTAGTTTTATTCTAAGACATTGAAAGACAGTGTCCCAAACTGAAAGAATGGGCCAGTGCAGTGGTGGAAAAGGCATCATATAAAACCATGCTCAGCAGAGTAAATGGTGTTTACCCACAATTCACATAGTAAGATCTGACCTTGGTTTTAACCAAGTCAACATTAGTTACAAACAGTATGTGCAAGAAGGAGCACATGTGCATCTATTGTGTTCAAGAATATATTGTTTCTGAATAGAACTTCTTATTATGATTTGAGTTTGAGACATCAGTTACAGAAAATACATCTGTGATGTGTGGTCTCATACCCGTGAAATTTGCGGATGACAGATAGAGCCAGGTGAGGGCTGGGATAAAGAGCAGTGCGAGGGAGGCAGCCACAAACTTCCTGCGCCCACGACACATTCCCAGCATCCTCTGCAGCCAGAGGGTGTCTGATCAGAGACCTCTATGTGGGCATTAGCTGTTTGGACAGGGGTTGCATGGCACTGCTCTGTAAAAATACAAAATTAGTGTTAGCGATAGCACAAATATGTTCATAACCAGGGATGGCCAGTATTTCAGATACATGCATTTAAAATACGTATTTGAAATACAAAATACTTTTTTGTATTTTGTATTTTAAAGCCTTCGAAAAAAAAAATCTAATGTCATTTGCATTTAAGTAAATTTTTCCACACAGTATTTTGTATTTAAGTAAATTTTTCCATGGCAGTATTTTGTATTTGTATTTAAATACATTTTTCCACACAGTATTTTGTATTTGTATTTAAATACATTTTTCCACGCCAGTATTTTGTATTTGTATTTAAATACATTTTTCCACACAGTATTTTGTATTTGTATTTTAAATACATTTTCATGTATTTATGCCCATCTCTGTTCATAACAACAAAATACTCATCTACCAGAATATGTTGTGCAAATATCACCAAAATGAATTCAAGCACTGCCAGTCCAAACCATCTTTTGCTTTGA